TATATATATATATATATATATATTATTATTATTATTATCATGTAACCATTCTACCCCTGCACATGTGGCTACACATCCTTGCTCATAACACCACCCGCATCACCCTCTCTTTCATGCAGGGATGTGAAAGTTAAACTGTAACGTTCCTATCGGATATATCTCCTCTAATCGGCAATGGATGTAGACAAATCGTCATGTGCATTCTCTGAGGCACGTCTTCCTGCGTCCGAGTGCAGAGTGTCTAAGGCCGAAGCAAAACAATACAAAGTATCAAAGCAAAAAACTAAAGGTGTCCCATATTAAATGGGATGGCGCCAATGTCTATATCATAGGAGGTTGTAGGCAAACCAGGGTTGGAGGGCCGAGCACACCGCAAAAGAACCAAGAGAGTGGTTGACCAAAGAAAAGTTCGGGTATCTCCTATCTCTCCAAGCCAGATTTACCTCGCCAGGCAGCAAGGTCTGCACAGAACACAAAGTGCCCCGGTGCCTCCTCACTGAGGCTGCTACAAAAACTCGGCTCTATTTTGTGCTTGGAGAAGTACTTGTTGTGAAACCTGCCAGCATGGATGTCGAGTATTTACCCGGGGGCAAAGGTGTAGGGATACCACGTGCGCCGCGCCCGCCTGGTCTAGAAACCTCTAGAACGGATTCGTCTGCGCCCTTTTCAGGGGTTTCATTACTTCATTTTTTAGGGTGTTGCCGTTGGACATGAATAAACAACCCCGGACGGGATTCACTCTGTGCGCCACATGCCGTACGAAGGTGGGGGCGGGCGCCCTTGGTGGGGAAAAGCTCGGGGGAAACATGGCCCCGAGCGCCGTGGCCACACGACTGCGGGGCGAGCCCCGCGAAGCGCATGTCTTTCCTCAAAGGTTGCAGGGGAGGCGCCTTTCCATATTTTCTGCTTTTCTGCGTCGGCAAAGGGCATATTGATCTTCAAGTGGCGCTGCATTTGCCGCCCAATGCGCATTCTGCGTATGCCTTGGGAGCCGCCACATTGGTGGAGCTCCGTCCTGGTTTTTAAATCGGCTGTGTGAAGCGCCTGCCGCCGGCCACGCGATCCGGGTTGCAGGGGGCTCTCTGCAATAGCACGTGCCCTCTTAGCGCGTCGCAACGCCCACCCCGCTTGACACACCTGCGCGCTATAGGACCGTTGGGGGCGCCCCGGGTCGGCAACAACGCCCACGATGAGAACCCTTCTCGGTTGCAGTGCGACCAAGGTGCCGGGCAGGGGGCAGTCCGTGTGGACCTTGCAAACCGCCATGAGAGGCCAGCAGGGTAGCAGGATACACGTTCGGAGGCGTGAACGCCGCAGCCGAACCGGCGTTAGCGCTAGAGAACTCCACCTTTGCAAGTCACCCTTGGGACTTTGGCAGATACAGTAGACTGTCTTTGCGATTAAGGACGCAGCGCGCTCGACGACGGCAACGCTCCGGCGGCCGTTGCGAAAGCATGTTACACAGCGCGCCGTTGTTTTTCGTTCTCTGAGAAATGGAGGGCACAGAGCGAAATCACCGGGCCCCTCCTCGCTTCCGCCGCGCGCACCCTCACAAGATTGCTTTGCTTCCTGGCGCGTAGCGAGCACAAGCCAGCGGCTTTTGGTGGCGGCGCCGTCCAACCCCGTCAGCTCGGGGCCCAAAACGACGGCCTCCGGTGGCTCTTTGCCGGGACTGCCGCCTTGGCGGCCCGCCGTCTGCCCGGCGTAATTCGTTGTTCTGCGCCGCCCATGTTGCCTCCATGCCCCGTAGGGCCCTGCGAAGCGGATTGGCCGGGTGGCGATATTTCCTCTGGTTGGCCTCCCCCGCGTAGACAAACTTCGAGACGGCCTCGGTGGCTCAGCGGGCGCGCCATCGCCCCCACAATCTACACGTCAAATGCGATGATGTGGTGGCCGCTGTCTGGCGAGGGCTTCGCCGCCCAATTAGGAGTGGCACGGCAATGGTGTCGGACACCGAGCCGCGGCGTCCCCCCGGCCAATGCTGCGCAGCCGCCCGCGTTGGCCACCCGGAAGCCTCTCCCAATGCACCGTCGCGAAATGATCTCGCCGCGGGGTCCGGGCGGAATATTGCGACCCCAACCCACTGTATTTGCCTCGGCGTCTGCGCAGGGCAGCTTCTCCAACTCCACGCCAGTGGCGCCGTCAGCTCCATTCCTGCCGCCGCCTCGGCAGGTGCGAGCAACGCCGCAGTGCCGAAACCCCAACAAGCTGAAGCCACCTGCTTGGGTGGGGCGGCAACCGAGCCTCGCCCGAGCGAGACCCGCAAC